ACCTTCTAAAAGTTCAACGATAATTCTTCTGCCATCGATTAATTTTAAAGACAATTTGATGTGCGTAGGTCCTTACTTTCTGTATAAAAAATATTTTTATTTCATAGGTGACTTTCGTAATTAATTTCGATTATTCCCAAATTTAGTTCTAAGTGATTGAAATTATTATCGTACAAAAAATTTGTCGCAAATAATCACTTAAAATAATCGCCAAAAACAATCGCAGTAATGAAAATTTGGGAATCCAAAATTTCTGTAACATGACCCATTGAAAGTTAGGGAGTTGTGTCCCTTTAATTGAAAAAGTGTGACACACTGACGTTCGCATTTATTATATAGATTATTATTATTGATTGCGGGAACAGTTCGCCAAAATTGACGCTAGGGTATAAATAAATGAAACCAAATATACCCATCATGACACGCAGTCAGATAAGGGTATACCATGCACATGCATCGCAGTCAAATATGCGTGAGATGACAAGCTTTTGATAAAATCAGCGCATAACCTTGCAGGTGGCGCCAAGTTAAAAATTCTTCCATGTCGGATAATGCAGTTCACTCAGCTCTGTCCCTAACTGAGGGTGTTCCCAAATATCTGGATGTAGCCCCTAAGTCGACTTGGCTCCCCCATCCCTCAAGCTTCTGGCGATCAAATCTGTGGAATATTTACTATAGCTTCTCTTGATCCAACAAGGCAAAACATGTCCGTGTTATTATTTACGCGCAGACTACTGTCCTCGTCTCCGGCCTTCATCAGGTGTATATCGATCTGGGTAATCTATAGGGAAGTCCGAACAGGATATACGGAGGTAGATTGTTCTTGTTCCCCTGCCCATGTCTCGGGATATCTCATCTAGTTCTTATTTTTAGCACTGCTCAGTTATTGCTCGCCTCATTTGTATTGTGTCCAAGTACACACTACCCAGCCCAGAGATTGACCTCACAATTACTAGGTCACTAATTTCACGAATCAATTCCCTCGGCTATTGTACGAGGGTAAGTCAAAAATAATCCGCACTTTCGCCATAAAATATCTTTAGGTTTGTCACACTGTCTTCTGCTCATGCGTGCTTATAGCTGGTATAATTGTGGTCACGTGACGGAAGTTTCGGCTTGGTTGTGACAGTTTTCTTGCTTTTGTGATGTCAACGAACATTCGTTGCCACTTTTGTAATGTCAACGAATACTTGTTGTCACTTTCGTAATGCTCGTTGTAGTAGAGACTTTGTAATCGCAGATACAACTATAGTAACGCAATTGAATAATACTGGTGTCAGACTTTTTTGAATAACACTCACACTAATAGTACTTGCTCGATAATACCCCTTAATAATACCGCATAGTGATCTGAATAGAGAAATGGTATAGTGAATAGAGTAGAGAATAGCGGTCTGTATAGTAGTAGAGGATAGACTAGAAATGGAGATCCGAATAGTATAGAGGATAGACTAGAATATAGCGATCATTTAGACGTCACGCAACTTCCTATATATTCGTTTCATCTATGGTCACCTGGTCTATTTAATTCAATAATTGGATCGCCTGTGTTTGCTCACTGACGATCCATGTTCAAACTCAAGTGTCGGCAGCGACACTTTATTCCTATATAACATTTGCTACTGTTACAATGTAAACATGGCTGCTCTGCTAGCAGTGTACACCAAGGAGTAAAAAAAAAGAAGAAGCAATAATCCGATTTCTCTGGTCGGGACTTGTGTCAAGAGCTGAAATTCATCGGTGGCTCTTAACGCAATACGGCCATAGTCACTGCCGCGTAGAAGTGTGTAGAGGTGGATCGAAAAGTTTAAAAGCACGAAGAAGGAGCAGGGCGCCGGTCAGCCTCCACCACTGACAAAAAAGATTCAGCAAGCTCGAGAGATGTTAATTGTGCACCGGCGAGTTATCATCGGTGAGGTAGCAGGTTTTCTATAGAATCGGATCATTCTTTTTTTTTCCTCCTTTATGCACACTGTTAGCGGAGCGGCCATGTTTACATTGTAACAGCAGCAGAAAAACTGGCTCGCTTAAGCTCAAACTTAAATCACGTGACCACGATAGTACCAACTATAAGCATGCATGAAACAAGTGTGCCGAACGTAAAGATATTTTATGGCGAAAGTGGGGATAATTTTTGACTTACCCTAGTACAAACATGTGCTTCTTAATACCTGTAATCAGTTAAAATCAGAATCCGTAAGAGTAGAATGAAAATAATTGTGTAGAATAAAGTTATTTATTATTGCTATTATTATTACTGTAGTTGGCATTTGCGTGAAGTGGCAGATCATACCTTTTAATTAAATATATATTTCGAATGTTAATTATCCTATAAATTAATTAGTAGCAATAATTCATTTAATAATGAAAACAGAAATGTAATACTTATCGTCATAGTCTGCACAGTGAAACGACATTGACAAAAATGTCTTCAGAAAGCCTCACATACAACACTCTTCTTTTTCTCATAGAGACGCTTGAAAATACAGTGACACTTAGACAATAATGTACAACACTGTATTTACAGACACAGACATTGAAACTAATTACAAAAATGAATGACATTATGCATACGTATACACGCAATTCGCTTCCCAACCTTTTCAGCTATTTTAGCGTTTCGGCTCAGACAAGAGGACACCAGGTTTGTTTTCCGGGTGCAGTTTCTTCCACTCGAACGCTTGTGGCTTAATACACAGAAAATAACTCTTTGACCAGATCGCTACCCACGATATAAAACCTTGAGGCGAGATTGTAGTGGTCGGCAAATATTATTTTGCAACAATCTTCTCTGTAGACGAGCGAGGAAACGTGAGACGAGGTGAGTGGGGGAACGGCGTGTACTTTCCATTTCGCGTCGCTAGCAAACGGTCCACTGTTTTAGGCTGTTAGGGGCCACCGTCTTATAAAGAACCAGCTGTTTTTGTCCTGTCAGCTTTCGTTTGAAAAAAAAGTTAATCATCAAGACCACTTCACTCAGCTGACCTCTCTTTGTCAGGGTCGTTTGACATGGCTCTTTTGATGTCCGCTTCACTCAGCTGACTTCTTTGTCCGGACGATAACTGTCAAAACGATTTCTGTAACATCCAACAGATGTATTACCAAGATATCAGCTGACACTATCTTGTGTCTGTAGACGTCTAAATTGAGAGCTATTTTCTTTACTATTGCTCCCACAATACAAGGCTTGAGTGCCACTCAAGGTAGCGGGCTACTTAATGGGATTGTTGTAGTGGTGCATAAGGAGCGAGCCAGGATTGCATATTATGAAGATGTGTAGGATAGATAAAAGTTGTCCCTCGACGGTGAGATTCTGTAGCTATGATGGAAGCACCCTTTCGGGAGTTCGTTCTATGTTGCAAAATTTCTGGGGAAGAATGTGTGTGGAACTTACTCCTTACTAATGGAATATGGAAGACGTTGACCATTACACAACCTTCACATTTGAACGTACTGCTATTGTATAACTGACAAGAGGTGGCATCATCAGAGGATTGTTGTAAGCGCGTACGGGGCATATATAGGTTAGATAACGGTCGACTCTCGACTTTTAAGACTGGAGTTACCAGAGAAGCATCCCCGCGAGAGTTCGGTCCACAATAGAAACGTTCTGGAGAAGAAGTTGTCTGAGTGCGACTTTTCATTGGAATATGAAGGGAATGAGAAGTCATCTCATTTTTCGGGACATAATGGGTCATAGATATGGACGACTAGACAGGCTAGCAACTGGAAAAGAGGCATAAGCTTGTAAAACAGTTCATCACCCACAAGACCTCGCAAACGGTTTTGAATTCGGTCGATGCTGGAAAGTGAAGATTGGGTAGCTCCAGACCAGATGTGGCAGTAATATTCGAATTTTGGTCTGATTTGTTTCTTGAGAGGTAGCGCATGGCAGGAGGTGTCAGGTACTTGCTGGAGCGGTACATTTTTGAAGCATACATTTCTGGAGCCGGCCATTTTTAAAGCGTTTTTTTATGATGGAAATTATTACCGCACAGTACCAGATGATGTAAGATTGTTTTGCGCCAATCTGTCAAATCTACCTGCTTTAAATATCAAAATTCGAAATTGAACACCGAATAATTAGAATCTATCTAATCAGCTATGTCAATATGTTCATATCTATCTATCTATCTATCTATCTATCTATCTATCTATCTATCTATCTATCTATTATATACTGTACCTATGAACATTAATGGGTGTGTCCCAATCCTCATAAATACGTTGGACACAATTCTAAGTGGTGGCAATATGCTGTATAAGTAGTCCACCAATAGCAGTGGTTTACCTACTTCACGCCGCTGGCGAGTATTGTATTTTGTTGATGTTATAAAGATTACCATTTCATTTCCAAATTCCGTTTCGGTTATTCCTCATTCAGTAACCTTTTCTAGGTTACAACACTATCTATCTATCTATCTATCTATCTATCTATCTATCTATCTATCTATCTATCTATCTATCTATCTATCTATGTGCTTCTGACCACATCACGCTGAAACACTGGCTCCTGGACGATCGACGAAGTTATGCAATATGCGGGTAGTGTCATGGAACGGCACGGAATTCTTCATCGGAGACCCGAGTTTCAATTCCAGTCGGGTTCTTTATATTAGCTTACGTGCGAATACCCATGGGAAAGGCATGAAATCAACTCTTTCCCCGCCAATTATACGTTAATTAGTAGGACAATAAATCATCACAAATTAATATTATCTCAAAAATTGATTACAACCTCAAAAAACATTTCTGGCTTTAAATAACCCGCAAAAAGTTGCTAAAAAATAACAAATAAAAATCAATTAATATATATATATATATATATATATATATATATATATATATATATATATATATTTGGCAGAAATAGATATGAACATAGATATATAGATTGGAAACGACGAGGTTATATATAGAATGTGTGTGTGTGTGTGTGAGAGAGAGAGAGAGAGAGAGAGAGAGAGAGAGAGAGAGAGAGAGAGAGAGAGAGGAGGTAACTAAAAGAAAAAAGACAGAAAAAGAAAGGTTAAAGAATAGCAAGTGAAGATGAAGAGAAAAGAAAAATAGTAAACGAAAGTAAGGAAGACAGAATGAGAGAGTTGAGAAGAAAAAAAGAACTGGGAAAGAAAAGAGAGGAAGAGAAGAAGAGAGAAATAGTTATATGTTGCAAGAGAGAGAGAAAGAGAGAGAGAGAGAGAAAGAGAACAGAAGAAAAGAGGAAAATGATATCTAGTATTATAAAAAGGGCGAGGGGGGACAATAAGGTGAAAAAGAGATGAAGAGAGGAAAGAAAGGGTAAAATGAAGCAGGAAGGAGAAAGGATGAAAGAGAAAGTGAAAGACATAGAGAGTGAAGACGGAGAGAATAAACTGAATAAATGAGGTAACAAAAGACAGTAGAAGGATAAAAGACAGCGAGAAGAAGAAGAAGAAGAAGAAGAAGAAGAAGAAGAAGAAGAAGAAGAAAATAAACAGTAAAGAATAATGAGGATAAAAAGAAAGGGAAAAAGATGAAAAAGAAGACAAGGACAAAGAATAAAAAAAGAAATGTTCTTCGTCGTCGTCGTCTTCGAAGAAGAAGATGAAGAAGAAGAAGAAGAAGAAGAAGAAGAAGAAGATGATGAAGAAGAAGAAGAAGAAGAAGAAAAACATAGAGAGAAACATAATAGAAATGGGAGAAAACAAAATATCTATGCTTAGTAAGGGAGAGGAGTGACAATTAGCGAGCAAAACGAGAAAGAAAATTAATGAAAGAGTAAGAAAGGAAGAGACAGAAAGTGAGATAGAGGAGAGAAAGAGAGAGAGAGAGAGAGAAAGAGAGGGAGAGAGAGAGGGAGAGAGAGAGAAGAGTGGAAAAACAATAGAGCGAGGCATATAGAGAATATCCTATACAGAAGTGAGAAAATAGATAGATAGATAGATAGATAGATAGGGATAGAGAAAGCGATTATATGTAAAAACAAACCTTAGCCTTCTCCAATAACATTTATTATAAAAGAACTGATATTGTGTTTCCTTTCGAAAAAAAGAAAATAAAAGGCATTACGATGCCGTCGACATCTTTCACCTATCGGTTTATTCGTAAGTTACGCCTTCAACGTATGTTAAAGAGGGTGGGACGAAATAAGAACAAAAAATAAATAAATAAGAACATAAATAAATAAAAAAAAGAAAGAGACAGGAAATTTTCTTTTTCTCCACATTTGTAGTTCGTGCCGAAAATTTCACCCCAAATTTCGCTCCTGTGGCGGTGATTGACCGGTCGATTCTCGTACTGTCGTCTCCTGGGCGTGGCAAAAGGCATTCCCACCTCTTCTCAACGGTATGACATGCTGTGTCATCTACCATTAGCGCAGGACTTATTTTTATGGTCTTTATTTGTTTGTTTTAATGGTCTATAAACAACTCGTATTGTTGGACCTTAGGGAACAACGTGTTAAAGTGACCAGACGCTCATCAAAATGCCAGTTCTAGCTGCTAGTTTGGGAACGGGATAGTATTAGTGACAAGGGGTAGGGGGCAGTCAAAGAAGTTTCTTTTTTTACTTTCACTTTCACTTTTGATTTTATTGCCATTACAAAGTCGAACATTAAGAATTTCTTCGTTTATTCTCTAGTAAAGTCTCCCGCTATCAGATTTTTTGCTTGTAATGCATTTTCCCACTTCATCCTCTAACACAGCCTGTCCGTATTTATATCTCAAAATATGTAATGAAAACATTGACAAAAATCAGTAATAAGAGCAATAATGATGATGACGATGATAATAATAATGATACTGATGATACTACCATTATTATCAAAATTATTAACACCGCTGTTATTATTACCAATAATAATTCTATGATAGATCATACACTTTGCTACGATTAGGGTTGTAGAGTGTTTGTAGAAGGCTTTCTGTGGAAATGGTATTCATGGATTATGCCAACATTTCTATTTGTCAAGAATGTCTGAATTTATTTTAAAGATGTATTTTAACTCGTATTTTCGGCGTTCTTGTTGGAATGTAACTGAAGACGCTGAAAGAGTCTAGCAAACAACTAGCCCAAAACAAATTCCCCCGAAAGAAAAAGAAGCCCCACTTTATTTTTTATTTCTCGTTTCTTTGAGAAAGGGCACAGGGGTGTCCGAAAGTTCCGAGTTTTAAAATCTTTTCTCCTCATGCTTCGATTTTGGTCAAAAGGCCAAGTAATATGAAATAAATATTATTATTTTGTTGTTTTTATCGCACGAATTTTCTTGCATTGGCCCATTATACCTACACATACACAAACACACGCATATATATATATATATATATATATATATATATATATATATATATATATATATATATATATATATATATATATATGCCCCTTCTCGCAGGCTGAGCACTTTGGAAGAAAGGGAATTTGTCAGCTGCTACTAATTAACACTAAAACGCTTCGCTATGAATTGACCACTCTGGTAGCGAGTAATGTTTATATCTCGCATATAATGCGTTAAAAATTCCCTTTCTCCGCCGTGTGTTTGGATGGTTTAAGAGTGAGAATCTCCGATTCAAATAGGTCGGGTTTCAATCTCGGCTTGAAGCAATCGCATGTTTAGTCAGACTGATGAGCTGTGATACAGTGAAACACTCTGTCTGTGGATGAGTATATATATATATATATATATATATATATATATATATATATATATATATATATATATATGTGTGTGTGTGTGTGTGTGTGAACATAAACTAAATAACGAGATATTAGCAAGTATATTTTCGTGTGATAACGTACATATACAGATGAGCAAATAAATATTTATTTAATTTAAGGTGTAACAAACAGTGCCCAATGGAGCTAAAGAGATCTTATATACATTGTGTATTTGGGTAGCAGTCCCTCTTTTATATAGGTTTCATTAAAGCCGAATGACAATCTTACGCTGACGATTAAGCTTTAATTTCCTTGTATTTGCGCAAGTATTTTCTTTTTAGGACATAAGTTGTGTACAAACTGTATAAATGATGTTTCTACCCGAGCGCTTTCGGCTATTCTGTTAGTCATTATCAAGGATGTTTTTTTTTTTAATTTTTAACCGAATATGTAGATTTTTTTATATGTGTATCTATAGTGATGGGAATGTTTATTTTTTCATCCAAACACGGTTAACGCATCGTGGCCGTGTTGATATTGTTGAGTGTTGGCTTTTTCTTTCTTGAATTTTCTTCAGCACTCAATAATACCAACTATGAACACGGCCACAATGCGCTGACTGTGTTTGGAAAACATTCCATCACTTCAGGACGTGGGAGATAATGGCTCTTCATGATTTCCTGTCCTTTGTAAATTGTGACTTTGTTGGCGTGAAACAGCCTCACACAAAAATAATATTTTTTCTATGTGCTGTATCCCGTAGATACATGAGCGATCATTGTTCTCCACAACTTCCTATCCCTTATAGCTCTTACAAAGATTTGTCTTTTTTGTTGTTTCTCCTAATACTTGTTCTGCTAATCAAGTTCGTTAGGTAGATTATGAGCGCTTTTTCCTATTCTTTTTGCCATCAGTATATCCTGTGAGTGTTGAATTTTCTAAACCCTCTTTCCTCATTATGTGCACTAGAATTTCAATTGTGTCTTTCTGATGTTAAGCATTTTTGTTTCTGTTGTGGCTTTGTTAGGGCCAGAAATAAAGACACAAAGAGAGGAATTGAGTTAAACAAATATATTAACAGAAACATTAATACAAATATATACAAACGAGAGTGTTACAGCAAGAATGTTGGAAACTTCTCTCCCAAAAAGGCAATACCTGCTCCTATTTATAGCTGGGAGAGTCCATGCGTGCGTGGGTGAATTGCCATAACAGTTTCCATTTTCTCTAAGACTTCGTCGTCGCTCACGTGCTCAGTCCATAATATTCTCAGTATCCTTCTGTAGAACTATATTTTTGTTGCCTCAAGTCTTTTCTTCACTTGTGATGAGATTATCCAACATAGGAGGACCGACATTTTTTTGTCACTTTGCTTAGCTTTTGGAAGGCATCTTTCGCTATCCCAATGCTCTTCGGATTTCGGTGTCACATTTTTCGTCCTCTGTTGAAACATTTCCGAGATATTTGAATGATCTTACTTGCTTGTTTATGGTGCCTCAGAGTTTGTACTTTGCATGTTGGGCTCTTCTTTTTGCTGAGAAGCATACATTTTGCCCTCTTACAATTGATAGCTATCCCTTGAGGGCCAAATCCTTTTTCTGTGGGTACTTTCAGATTTTCTCCATTTTCAATTGAAGTCTTTTTTGAATAGTCCGATATCAGCAATCTAGCATCATTCCTTCATAGTCAGCCTTTGAACTTTTCGGCCCACTCTCGTATCTGAAAAGACACAATACAGTTATTAATAAGAAGAGTTTAAATATTTTCAGGCTTTAAATAACTTGCAAAGGGTTGATAAGCCGTAAAAAACGAATCAATCAATTAATCATCCGGCTTTTTGCTTTCCAGTCAACTTTGATGTTTAAGATTTTAATTCAATGTGATTCGTTATCTTTTGTTTTCTTAATTCTTTCATTATCCTCTTTCCTTAACGATGTTTTTTTCATATTCTTTCATACTAAATAACCCTGTGTGTCGTAGTGGCTTTATTGCCTTCCTTGGGCTGAAATAATTTAAAAAAGAAAATTTCGCGTTCTTTGGACAAAAAACCGAGATATTAATTTTGAAAGGTTCAAATGTTTACATATTACCAAGAGAGGAAGATAAAAAACAAGAAAGAGACGGAGTGAGATAGCGAGAGAGAAAGAGAAAGAGAGAGAGAGAGAGACAGATATAGAGAGAGGAAAAGAGAGAGAGAGAGACAGAGATAGAGAGAGGGATAGAGAGGCATAGAGGAAAAGAGAGAGAGAGAGAAATACAGGGAGAGATAAACGGAAAGATAAAGAGAGTAAAAGAAGGTAACATAGGAGAAAACTTGGAAGTATCAAAGAGAAAAAGTGTTTGTGTATGTGAGAGAGAGGGAGAAAGGGAAGAGAAAGAGAAGATGAGAGAGAAAGAGAGAGGGAGAGAGAGATAATAACAATTAGATAGTGAGAGTAATGAGGAGAAAGAGATCGGGAAAGATAGTAAAATGTAGAATCAGAGAAGAAATATAAAACAAGAATGGAGTTCCATTTATCACTCGTCCATCGATTGAATATTGTTGCCACATCTGATCTGCTATATATCTTGAGATTGTTAACAAAAACCGAAGAAAATCTGCAATGTTATCAGTCATCACCTGACATCTTGGCTTCAATCACCTCCCCTCAACCGTCCTGGGTATGACGATAAACTACATCCGCGTCCTGGGTAAGACGATAAACTACATCCGCGTCCTGGGTAAGACGATAAACTACGTTCAACAGCAAAGCCACTGATCAGGAGGTTTTGAGGAGTGTGGAGCCACTTCTTAATTGCTGGTGTTCCCAGGTCCACCCTGACCCGGGGTGGTAGTACCTGTTAGAGTCCCAGCTATGGTTAAATAGTTAACAAAACAACTGGAGTCAAAAAACTGCGAAAGTGAAAAAATAGGTTTTAATGCCAGAAATACATTGTAAAAAAAATGTTACAGGCAATAAAGTTTTGAAAAAAAAATATTAACAGAAATAGATTTTTATTAAGAAACCGATATACAAACCAATATATACTGAGATAGATAGATATTAGCAAATTGAGATAGATAGATAGATAGATAGATATTAGCAAATAGATAGATAGATAGATAGATAGATAGATAGATAGATAGATAGATAGATGAAAATATTACCAGCAACAAAAATCTTGTCGGCATTAAATAACCCATTGAGATTTATATGCCGTAAAACAAACCAATATATACTGAGATAGGTAGATAGATAGATAAATAAATAGACAGATATTAGCATATTGAGATGATAGATAGATAGATAGATAGATAGATATGAGGAGATAGATCGATAGATAGATATTAGGGAGACCTTGATAGATAGATAGATAGATATGAGAACAAACTGGGATAGATAGATAGATAGATAGATAGATGAACAAATGGGATAGATAGATAGATAGATAGATAGATTAATGAACAGACTGAGATAGATAGATAGACAGATAGATAGATAGATAGATAGATAGATAGATAGATGAATGAACAAACTGGGATAGATAGATAATGAATAGATTAAGATAGATAATTAATGAACAGACTGAGATAGATTGATAGATATGAACAAACTGTGATAGATAGATAGATGGATAGATAGATAGATAGATATGAATAAACTGGGATAGATAGATAGATATGAGCAAATTGATATATATATATATATATATATATATATATATATATATATAGAGAGAGAGAGAGTGTGAGATGGAGAGAGAGAGTGAAAGAGAAAGAGAAAGTGGAGGAGAGCGGAAGAGCAACAAAAAGATGTGAGGAAAGAGTAGACATATCGGAAAGAGTCGAGAAAAATATGGCCAGATAATGAAAACTAAATAAAGGAAAAAACGCTAGAGCGAAAATTCTATTATAAATGTATTTTCCTTTTCTTTCACTTAGTTCGCTTCTTGTCCTCCCCCAGCTTCTTCGCTTCCTGTCTTTTTCGTTATCTCATTGACTTACCGTCTCACCATCTCCTTTGTTTTCTTTCCTTCTTTTCTTCTTACTTTCTACTTTAACTTACGACCTCGTCTCTTCCTTCTTCCCCACTTCCATTTCTACTTTTGCTTTCAATTTTCTGCTATTAGATTATCTCTCTGTCCTCTTCCATCGTCTTCGCTTCTTTTTCCTCTTTCATCCTCACTTTCGTCTATTAATTTAATTCGTCTCTCTCTCCTGATTGGCCTTTCTACTTTTTCCTTCATTTTCTCCTATTAGCTTACTTCTTGGACCGGCTCTATCTTCTCTGCGCCGTTCTCTTCCTTTACTCTCACTTTCTTCTGTTACGCCTGTATTCGTCTTCTTTCGCTTACTTTCCTTATTTTTTTACTTTTACTTTCACTTTCATTTTCATTTTCTACTATGAGCCCATCACTTCATCTTTTTTATTTACCTTTTTTTTCCTTCCATTTTCGCCTATAAGTTTACCACCTATTCTTCATCCTACTTCTTCTGAAACTATTTAAGATTAAAGTCTAATGACTTTTTGTTCGCTTGTAATGATGCAGTATGCAGCACCTCGAAAAATAATCGTGTCAATTTAGTGGCGAGAATTTAAAAGAAAAATTGAATTCGACTGTGCATATATTCGATTTCCTCGCCAGGCTCCTTGTTTTTTCAGCTTCTCGCTATCCAGCTCGATTGGATGCATTACATCACGTGATTATTTATCGTAGTTCGACCAAAAATGCATAGTGACGTCAGGCTCGAAAATCGAGCAACTGCTCCACACCGCAGTCCATATTTCGAGTCGCTGCGATGCTAATGTCATCAGGAAGAGTGGGACAAGTCAGGCAACGTCTTGGACGTGTTTATTAAATTTGCACGTACCACTCCACACCCTGACACACCCTACTGCTGAAAATCCGTCTCCAAGACAATCATTTGCCTCGTTTGGGTAAGTACTTTCATATTTTTTTCAAAAGCGCTTTTGTCTTGCGAATTTCTTCCTTCATATTTTTATTTTTTTTTTTTAAAAAAAAAAGAAGAAAAATCTGATTGTTTCTTTTTCTTTCTTTTATTGTATTTCAATTTTCTCTTATTTTTGTTTTTCTTTTTTCTTTGTTGTTTTCATTTTTTTTTTCTTCTTTTTAACACTGTGGGATTTCCGGCATGATTACTTATCATGAAACGTAATTACTTTTGGCGGCCGGTGACGGGAGGCAGGTCATATTAGGCGGCATGTCACCAATGTCTTTCAGAAATGGCGTACCAGTGATAATGGCGGACGAAGGCAAATGATAACAGTTGAAAAAGGTTGTTTAATTAGCAGGAAAACTTATCAGTCGACCTTTCCCGCCTTTCACACTCCTACAACGTTTCGTCAATCATCGCCTCACAAATGCCAGTCGTTGGAAATGAATTTTGATTCGCTTTACACTGGAATGTGGATGTGATAACATTACGAATAAAACTAGTGTAAGATTCTTCTTGCTTCATCCCTTCCTGCCTAGGTACGTTGCGCATTCGTTATATTTTCTAAAGTATAATTTTCTAATTGCAACACAAGTTAACATTATGATAATTTTTATACGCTGACTGTTTAAACTGTCAGGTAAGCTTGATTTATTTGGGAAGGTCATTAGAACAACCCAGAACTCATACTTGGAGCTAAACGCCAACATTCAGATAGAAAATGAATTCAGTAAATACCTGCTAGGGTCCCAACTATGGGCAAATAGTTAACACCCAAACTCCGGGTCAAAACAATATGAAAGTGTAAAAAATGTTTTTAATATCAGCAATACATTTTTGAGGAAAATTATTACCAGCAATACATTTTTGAAGAAAATAAATATTTGGTAATACATTTATGAAGGAAAAAAATATTACTAGCAGTATATTTTTTGAAAAAAATATTATCAGTAATAAAAATCTTGTCGGCATTAAATAACCCATTGAGGTTGATATGCCGTAAAACAAAATAAACCAAACCAATCTAGACCAAAGAATACATACTCTATTCATACGAATCTATCCTAAAAATGTTGTCGGCATTAAATAACCCATTGAGGTTGATATGCCGTTAAACAAAATAAACCAAACCAATCTAAACCAAAGAATACATATTCTATTCATACGAATCTATCCTAAAAATGTTGTCGGCATTAAATAACCCATTGAGGTTGATATGCCGTAAAACAAAATAAACCAAACCAATCTAAACCAAAGAATAGATATTCTATTCATACGAATCTATCCTAAAAATGTTGTCGGCATTAAATAACCCACTGAAGCTAATATGCCGTAAAACAAACCAAACGAAACCAAACCTATACTTATATTTAGCATTAGAGAGAGAGAGAGAGAGAGAGAGAGAGAGAGAGAGAGAGAGAATTGAAATTTCTAGGGCACATAAGGAGGAAAGAGGACTTGGAGAATTTGACACTCACAGGACATATTGAAGGCAAGAGGGACAGAGGAAGGCATACCTAGCCAGTGAGCGTGTCTAAATGGCTGGCAGAACAGGAATTAGGAGAGATAACATGACAAAACACTTGAGAAAGAGTTACAAAGGACAGAAAAATGTGGAGAACCACGATCAACCACGCACTAAACTAGTAAATATTGATTATTATCATAAGAAAGTTTTATTTATTATAATCTCCGGCTTTTCTCAGGCTTAGGCGTTAACCTTCTTGCAATTTCGAACCTGAACACTTTATTCAATCAACAGGAGATCTTGTTTTGATTCTACTGTTCTTGTAAGAGTAGTCTTTTCTAGAAAGCCGTTTTAAATAGCCAGTATTCCCAAGCATTTTGAATGTAATCCTCTACCTTGAGTGGCTTTCGAGTCTTGTATTGGAGTACTATTGCCATATTTGGGCGGGAGATGCCCGGTCCTCACTTTCCAGTCTTGAAAGCGTGTAAAGGCGTCTCCGAGTCCTTGTTGGAGGAGAATTATTCCCCACCCTCCAGGCTCTCTCTCTCTCTCACAGGCTGGGTGTGGCGAGTCTCTCACTGCTCTATCGCTACTTCCATGGAAAGTGCTCGGGTCAACTACATTCCTTGGTTATAACCTTCACGGCTGGGACCCGCCATGCCACTTCCATAGTAGCAAAGCACCCACATTCCCTCCGTATTCCATTGTAGAGAAGTATGTTCACTCAGACAGCTTATTCTCGCAAACCTGTGGAACAGACTCCCAAGAGGATGTTTCCTCGATCACTACAATCTTAATCTGCGCAAGTTTTGAGCTTACCGTTATCTTCTCATCCTATCCCTGTAAACTATCCCTTAACATAACCCTCTACCACAAGTGTCCCCTGGGCCTTGTTTAGGGGTGAACCTTACTGAAAAAATAGTATAAAAGAAAGAAAAATGTTAATTGTGTATACTAGGGGGAGATTACTCGTATCAGTTAATTTTTACGAGTTAAATTTTCTTTATGACATCCCTTGCTTGTCTTCGTCTTATGCCAGTGTATGTATCTTTTTGTAGAATTCAGAGATTGAATTGACAGTCGAAATATTTTTATCCACTGTGTGAACCGGGATATGCACCTGAAAAAGGCCGATGTATAAAACGGCCGAAACAATGCGATAATAACAATCAAAGCTGCGGAAAGGAAATCAGTGTAAAACAAATGATCTTTCCTCATCTTAAAAAATGCAGGCAACGATTAAAATATAGAATTAGTCAAAGTTATGCTAACATTATTATTATTTTATTTCCTTTGGCTTCTGGCGTATACTCATTTCTTTCCGGGTCCCAACCAGAGATCTAAGGTCAGAAATCGCATCATGACATTTTTCATTGATCATTTTTTTTGAAAAACAGAACAAAAAGCAAAAACCAAAAAGCACACACACTTTACATAGTGCTGTACTTGTGAGTACATTTTTTCTGTATTTATTTAAGTCTTAGGCTACCAGTGATTCCTTCAATGAATCTATCGGAACATTTTTCAATCAAACCGAGGGCTCCAACTACAGCTGGAATTATTGATGTCCTCATGTGCCACATTTTTTAGATTTCCACTTCAAGATCCTTGTATTTTGATAGTTTTTTGAAGATCTTAAAAGATACATAACAATCTGCAAGGGCTTCCATATCAATAAGAAAGCACATTTGCGGTCTTTGATGACGATGTCTGGGCGATTAGCTTCGATTGTTCTGTCTGTGTGTATTGTAAAATCCCATAAAATTGTTACAGGTCCTTTCTCTGTAACCGGGTCTGCTTCATGTTAATACCAATTCCATGCAGTTTCCTTTCCGTAAAAGTAGCATATTTTCCAGTGAAAATATTGGCCCACTCTGTCACGCCGGGTTTTATATTCAGTGGGCTCCAATACTGTGCAACCTGATAAAAGCTGGTCAATTGTTTCTGGATATTTAAAAATAATAATAATTATTATTATTATTGTTATTATGTTAACATTAATGGATTCTTTCTTCTTTTACAGATAGACGTACCTCGTAGGTGACGAATTGACACTTGGGCAAAGAAGAGTGATTGTAAGCTTGATGGAAGGGTATGGTTCGCCAAGTCAGTCGAAAGTTTTGCAAAACAATTTGCTGAGGGAGACCCACCAAGTCGTTTAACGATTTATCTACGCAAAGTATGTGAAGATAGGATCGGTGGCGGACAACTACTGTGGAAAATGTGGGACGCTTCCGAACAAGTAGAAGTGCCTCGAACATTACTTCCGAATAAATGATTTCTACTAACGCTGTAATTGAAACAAACCGATTTCTGACTGTGAGTGTGTTACAAAGCAAAAACAACACATCGTGGCGAGATTTTTATAAGGGCAATCCTATCCAAAATTAATTGCGATGAAAGACAATATTTCAATGAAAAAAAGAAATCGATTTTTTTAATCATTTCACACCAATCAAAGCAATACAACCGCTAAGACGCAAATGGGGGTCACTGAGTGTGAGAGAATATGAGACAAAATCCTTATTAAGGATAAAGAACCATAAAAAAATTAAAAAGACAAAAATAATGATTGATATTACTTTTAACTTTTCAAAGATCAAACTTGACTTAGAAGCAAGAAGCTGGAACAGTTACACAAGCGATAGACACGATAGAAGAAACTGTTAGCATAGAACTTACGGTTCCATCTAGCCGTTTCAACTGTAAATTGATTAGAGACTGCCGGCAATCTAGTATTGTGCTTAGATTCATAAAGTCAAGGTACTATAGCGGAAAGTCTATCGGAACAATTACCAAGAAATTATTAACAGAAAAGTTATAGAGAAGTTTCGTTACAGCGTTTATTAGGAAAGATAATATATTTTTTTGCTTAAATGGGTTTCTCAGAAGGGTCTTGATCTCAATTCCCAATTAATGTATATATATATATATATATATATATATATATATATATATATATATATATATATATATATAAAAGTTTTCATTTTTGGAAGTGTTATCTGATGATCCGGCGTCCTTTTAAAAGGGCTCTGGTGAAATAAATTATCATAATGGAACTTTAAAGTGGTCCGTTTTTCTTTAATATATATATATATTTGGTTGGATAGATGTGAGTTTGTGACCCTTGGTTTTACGCTTTAGCGATCGTCAGACAAACTGATTAATTTTTTTAAAATTTTGGGTTTATGTAGATTGTGTGTATTGGTGTTATTGTGGAAGTGGTGGGGGAAACTTCGCCGTTTTGTCATTCATCGTACTAACGCAAACATCGATGTATGCAGACACATATACATACTTGGTCGTCCGTCGGGACTCATACATATATAAACATATGTGGGCAGTTTCGGATATGACATATGTATGTATACGGGTGGTGTTGTGTCTATACATACGCATTTGTATGTTGAAATTCAAAAGATTGGGAGTGTAGCGAAAATTTTCTCGTGAATGTCTCGTGAATGTATACATGTCATATTTTTATTTTTCCAGTGAATAAATTTCTTCGCATGTATGTATATATGTGTGGTGGGGTTTGTGTAAAATTATGATAGGTAAAAATTATTATTATTTATATTTATTTTTAAAGGGGGGGGTTATTTGTTATATTTAAAGCTGGTTATTTGTTTGTTTTTGATGACTATGTATATGTAACAGGTAGAAATTTGTAATCCTTATTGGTTATTTTATATGGTGGTGTTTAATATTTAATATGCTGGGTGAGAGGGTAGTTTAATTCAATTATTATAGCGGGTCTACACACACTTTTCACACACACACACACACACACACACACACACACACACACACATATATATATATATATATATATATAAACCTAAAAAGCCAGACAAAACGACCTAGGTTTCACCTACGCTGATTGCAGGGTAAACTGGCCAGTTTACCCTGACGATCCGCGTAGGTGAAACCTAGGTAGGTTTGTCTGGCTCTTTAGGTTTACTTAGTTTGCTCTTCTTAGCGTATTGAGTACTTTGCTTGGTTAATTTTACTTTACTCGTGTCGAAGGTTTTTTTTTTCTTTGAACTCTGAACTTTTATTCTAGACGATTATTTTCGCCGGAAGTATATGTTCTTAGTTCTTTCTTCCCCCACTTTTTTCCCCCTTGGATATTACAAGCTAAAACACCTAAGGTTTTGCCGAACGAGTATAGCTGCTTATATTTATAAGATTATTAGTATTACATATATATATATATATATATAATAGCAACATCTACATGCAAAAAAGGCTAAAAATAATGGAAGCCTTATTAATAAAAACAAAACCAACAATCAATAATATCAACTATGTACATGGTCACAATATCTTGACCGTGTTTAAAAAAAAATGGAAACATTATATAAATACATACACAGAACAAAGTATTTCTTATTTAACAGTTAAAATATTTAATCCTTGAAAATGGCTAAATGTATAGCCGAAAGCGCTCTGAAAAAAGAACATTCGGACAGTTTTTTGTATAATTTATCATCTGAAAAGAAAAAAATTATTAGACCACATGAGAAATTGCATAAAAAAACTAAATCAAAGCACCTTGTGTGTCGTATTCAATGAAATGTGCATGAAAGAAGGATTGCAGCCAAAATGCACAAATATATATATATATATATATATATATATATATATATATATATATATATATATATAATATATATATTATATATATATATATATATATATATATATATATATATATATAGCTAAAATATATAAATATATATACATAAATACATACATACACACACATAGAGATATACATATATATAAAGTTTCCAAGAGGATAGAATCCAGGTAGAACTCAATGTCCAGGACAGAGTAAGAATATAATAAAAAGGCTTAAACACTAATATTCCATGGTTATAATATGAATATATATGAATGAGAGAGGGGGGCGAATGTGAGAGGCAAATGAAATCTCTAGAGAGGGGTAACAGACGAGAGAAGAACAGGAAGGCTTAAAAGTGAAGGTGAGGATTAAAAGAGAGAAGTTTTAAAGAGATGGGTTAAATTCACTCTCATTAAATTTTTTATTCTCGGAGTTATTTTTTCTGATTTCTTTTTGAATTTGTAGGTCTGATGAATTGGATCGTAATTACGATTCCAATGTAATAAATTATAACCATGGAATATTAGTGTTTAAGCCTTTTTATTATATATATATATATATGAAGAAAAATATATATGGAAAAAACAAACAAAAATCCTTATATACAATTTATACTGTTTTAATGTTAATATGTCAACGTCGGACGTTTCGGTCTAATAAACCATCTTCAGGACATATTCATAAATTATAACATTATCAATACAACATGACAACATTTTATTAGACCGAAACGTCCGACGTTGACATATTAACATTAAAACAGTATAAATTGTATATAAGGATTTTTGTTTGTTTCTTCCGTATATATTTTTCTTCATACTGTCGGATCTATATCCATATATTTGCTTATATATATATATATATATATATATATATATATATATATATATATATATCACATAACAATTTTTGTGCTGTTTGAGATGGCTGGATTTTTAATTCAGAGTTGTCCTTCTTCTAGAGTGGTTGTCAACGACGGCTGCAACGCTCAGTAAGCCTTGCAATTTAGCCTGTATCTGGAGGGAGAACTGGTTGCTTTATACCTGTGCGAAAGGAAATGTAGCGAATTCGACCGGAACTCGAGCCCATATCACTGATTTCGCATTCGGAGTCGCTTACCTGTGCGTTATTAAATCATCCGATAAAATAAATGCCTCGCGTGTAAGCAAAAGGAACTCCTGAACGAAATATAAAATCTCCCAGTTGTTGGGCGTCCAAAAAAACAGTTAATCGCCTAGCCGGTGATTTTTTTTTGTAAACCTTTCCCTCCCTCTCCCCGCCACCCCGCCTCTTATTCGAAGATGTCAGGAGAGAGAAAGAAAAAAGAAAACACTTCCAGCAAATGAGGGCGAAACGCCGATAAGCCTCACTGTCTTTCTATTGCTTCAACTCTCTGCCCCCCCCCGCCTTGCTCTCGAAGTGCACGCGTTTCTGCTTATCTCCGTGCGCACCTGGGCAGGTGAAACAAAAGAGTGGGAGGGAGTCTTATCGCTCGTGGAAAGTTCGACTCAATATGTTGGCGTCTTATCGCTGGCGAGTTGGCCTTCTTACCTTTTTTTGTGTTTAATTCGTTCTTTAGTGTTAAAGGGAAGAAAAGTTTTGATACGGGAGACCGGTTGGTGTCATGTGCGCATGCGTGTCTTCTGCTTTCTAAGTCTTAGCGTTTACACACACACGCGCGCGCGCGCACACACACACACTCTCTCTCTCTCTCTCACACACACATATATATATGTATGAGATAACGATATATATTTTTTCATATATCAAGAACAGTATTAGGGAAATTTTATGACAAAGTGAAAAAAGTTTGCTTGTGACGCGTTTCGTTCTTTAGAACTTCATCAGACAAAATTTTTCATGTTAATAGGACTACACATGCGCATGGCAGGGGGTGCTGGGAACTTTAGAATTCATTTAGTCTTTTTCTTTCTATCACTTTTGTAAGTAAGTATTTCACACTGTGATATTAGATCTGCCAGGAATGGTGAAATGTTGTAAAAACCAGGGCGCAGATTTACTGTAGATGACCTTGAGATAAAGACGCCCTCTAAATATTTACATCGTAGTGAATTACTTTCTCTTTTGATCAGAGTAGAATTTTATTTATGTCAAAGTTGTGACCAGTTTCATTACAATGGACAACCAACGCATTTGATGTATTATTTTGTAAAATGTCTCTTTTGTGTTCATATATTGTCAGAAAAAAATACATAAGACCTCAAGGAATTTAAATAAAAGATTATATCAACCAACAAAAACGACCTAGTAAATTAATTTCTCATCATAACAACAAAACAACATCCGGCATAATCAGCAGATTCTAACTAAGAGCATTAAGAATATGCAGCCCGGATTATTTACACGAAGAAGGGAAATACATTTCAAATACGATCAAACTTCTCCAGTAGCCTAATTATTTTATATCCAATGCGAAATAAAAGGACCATAAAATATTCCAAAACATAAAAACGACCCCTCCTGAGAAACCCACTGGATAAAAGAATATATTACCCTGCCTACTAAACGTTGTAATGAAACTTCTCTGTGACTTTTCTATAAATATTTTCATAAAAATTGTTCTGATAGTACTATGGTACTTAGACTAGACGAATACTAGACTGCCGGAAAGTTACAGTTGAAATGGCTAGATGTAACCGATAGAGCGATGAAAATAAAATGTCGACATTGAGGTCAACGCACAGCGGCGACAGTCTGTTTAATGCTTAAGCGCAAATGGCCTGACCATTGCGTTTAACCATGAATCAAACTTTCGCTGTTGGATCTTAAACTCAATGTCCATTTTACACACACACACACACACACACACACACACACACACACACACACATATATGTATATATATATATATGTGTGTGTGTGTGTTTGTGTTTGTATATATATTCACATTCTCTATTTTAATTCATTCATATTTTATGTTTGTAATTTCATCGCCTTTTGTATTTAATGCTACCAATTTATTTACTTTTCTCCTAAGTAAATCGACAGCTCTCCTATTTTAACATGAGATTAGAAATATTGAAATATTGCCACGGCCAGCTTTCAATTTGTGCCTGACGATTGCCACGTGCCTTAAACTCAGAATTGCATCAAACGGTTAAGAAATATATATATATGATATATATATATATATATATATATATATATATATATTCCTTACAGTTTGGTACCAATTATATATATATATATATATATATATATATATATATATATATATATATATATATATATATATATAAGCAAATGTAAATGGATATAAATCCGACAGAATGAAGAAAAATTTTGAAAAAACAAACAAAAATCCTTAAATGTAGTTAAAATGAATGAAATGTCGACGTCTGACGTTTCGGTTTAATAAACCTTTTTCAAGACAATATTCATTAAAATACAATTCAGTTCAATATGACAAATACGATGGACATAAAAACACAAGTCTTATTCAGAACAGATAACTGAAAATTTTTAAAATGATCAGCCTTCCGTCTAACACACAACTAAAGCAGATCATAATTTCGATTTCGATTCCGTGAAAGTATTAAAATATTTTCATAATAAAAATCTCAGGAGGATTTATGAAGCAGGTATAATATCCATCTCACGCACGGTGAATACTAGACCTGGTTTCTTTAATATTTCCCCCTTTTTAGCGAGATTGATGCTCGACAAGCATACACATAAAAATTTTAGAACCTAATAGAATTCTTTTCATTTTCTTTTTCATTTCAAAATAATCACAAACTTTTAGGAATACGTTATGAAAGCGTCGCCCATGTGACGACGGCGTGACCATGTTAGACGGAAGGCTGATCATTTTAAAAATTTTCAGTTATCTGTTTTGAATAAGACTTGTGTTTTATGTCCATCGTATTTGTCATATTGAACTGAATTGTATTTTGATGAATATTGTCTTGAAAAAGGTTTATTAAACCGAAACGTCAGACGTCGACATTTCATTCATTTCAACTACATTTAGGATTTTTGTTTTTTTTTTCAAAAATTTTATATATATATATATATATATATATATATATATATATATGTATGTATGTATGTATGAATGTAAGTGAATGATATACTAAAAAGTGTTTACGGCCATATCAAGACGAAACACCGGTTCCCGTACGAAGTTAAGCAACCTCGAGCTTGGTCAGTATCTAGATGGGTGATCGCTTGGAAATAACTGGTGCTGATGTGGATGTGTGATTGGTGCAATGGATTGAGGCTCGGAATTGGAAATCGGAGAGCCGAGTTTCATTCCCATTCGGGTTCGTTATACTCGCTTACGAGCAAATACTCTTGGGAAAGTATCTACTATCCACCTCTTCTCCCCCAGGTATGAGTTAATTAGTGGGGCTTGTATCAATAAATCGTTATTATGTCCCCCCCCAAAAAAAAATTAAAATCTGAATATATTTTCTGGCTTTAGATAACCTGCCAAAAATTTTAATAAACTGTAAATTATTTGAAAAAAACTGGGAAGTCTACTAAATATATTTCTGGGATTTTTATCAATAAATCACTATTATGCCCCCCCCCTCGAAATCCTTAGAATATGAATGTATTTTTTGGCTTTAAATAAGCTGCCAAAAGTTTGACAAACCGTAAATTATTTGAAGGAAAATGAAAAAAAAAACAACAAAAAAAAACAAACTGAAAGTCTACTCAAAGACTATCATTAATTCTATCAAGAAATTATTCTATAGAAAATGTCACCTTTGCAACCTTTCAACTTTATCAATGTTTATTTATATCTGATTATATTCCAATCGATAAGTTGCCATCATTCCCAAACTGTTATTTGCAATTTGTTCGTTAATTCTTACATTTATTCATTCTTCCTTTTACTCCCGATCAACAATCAGATATCTTTTCCTGAATTACGACTAACACGAAAGAAATTGGAATATTTAATTAAATTATCTCAAAATAACTTATCATTTTGTTCCAATATTGAAATTATCTTTAATTCTTTATAACTTCATTGTTGTGGGCAAAGCAACGGAGCGCAAGTAAATATATATTTATATCCATGTGTGCAAGAAAAGGCAGATATTCTACGGGAGAATTGTTCGAATCGTGACTATATAAAACAATAAGCAGGCATCTTTTTTGTTGTCTAATTTAAGAATATGTTTCCAACGGCGCACGTAGAGATAACTTGATTACTTTCTAATTTTGGGTTAAACTTTTCTAAAATGAAATATGCATCATCGCCCTTAACGTTCGTCGATGTCTACTTGTCCGCGCGTTTATCTACCTGTGAAATTGCTTTAGTCAATAAGAATGGATATGGAACATAGGATTATCGCTTTAAAACTTACATCTCTATGATTTAATAAAATAACATATTTAATTTTCTGCAATTTCGTTCAATTATACATTGTTACTAATTACATGCACACACAGAGACTCTCACTCCCTCTCTTTATATATATGAGTGTGTGTTTGTGTGATTGTGTATCTTCTACTTGTGCGTGTGTAGTGTGTGTGTGCACAAAAGTAATTTTTCGTCGTATGAAAACGTAAAAGATCAGTTAGGAATTCAGATCGAGTTCGTTGTTTTTAAATATATATATATATATATATATATATATATATATATATATATATATATATATATATATATGAATACTAATATAGGTAACTATACTCGTTTCGAAAATCTTCGAATTTTTGATTTGCCAATAATTAAATCAATCTCGAGGGAAAAAAGGTTTTAAAAAAAGAAAGAGTTACAAACATGAAAGTCTGTCGAAAAAAATCGCACAGATGCAGGTTAAAAGCCCAAAGAAAAAAAACCCGATACAAGTAAACAATTAACAAAAGAACTCAATACAACCGTAGAGCAGACCTAGATAAACCTAGTGAGCCAGACAAACCTACCCAGGTTTCATCTAAGCGGATCGTCAGGGAGAGCCAGCTTTCCCTGACGATCCGCTTAGGTGAAACCTGGGCAGGTTTGTCTGGCTCACTAGGTTTTTCTCACTCTCTCTCTTTATTATATATATATATATATATATATATATATATATATATATATATATGCATGTTTCATTAAAAACGACAGACAAGGTACTACGGTTAAGGTTTATTTTATTTTTCTTGTTATCCATCCTTGATAATGGCTAAAGATATAGCCGAAAGTGCTCAGAACTGTAAAAAACAGTTTTACACTTTTTTTTATCCAGAAAAGAAACACAAGAAAAAAGAAACACAAGAAAAATTAAATAAAAAGCTTGACCGTAATACCTTGTCTGTCGTTTTTAATGAAACATGCATAAACGAAGGATTGCTGCATAAATATACAACT